TTTTTCAGCAAGCGGGACTGACCTAGGGTGAATTTTAAATAGGGAATAATTTTTTAAAGATTTTAATAATGACACAGCCATAAATATATTTGGTTTTTAATTGGTTTTATAGGGGAAATGTTTTTTGTGTTGTTTTTAATATGCTGTGAGCCGCCCTGAGTCCCGTGGGGAGAAGGGCGGCATAGAAGTTAGTGAAAAAAAAAAAAAAAAAAAAAAAAGATGTACGATAGCTAGCTTTTGATCTTTCAGTTTGATCACAGGAGTTGGTATGTATTTGTAGCAAAATTGATTGCAGGTCTCAAATCCCATGTCATAAGAAATCTGTTTGCTTCTAAAGCTCCACAATATCCTTCTGTTGTTTTCTTAAATGATTAGCACAAGAAAGCCCTGAAAAAATATTTATTGGTTGAGTTTCTTTTGTAAAAACCTTTTCTATGTATGTGACAATCCAAGATTCTTTAGCAGTATTTGCACTTAAAATCTTTTGCGTTAAAGATGTGAAATAAGCTCTGAACCTATTTTATGAAACAATATAGTCCTTGGAGCAAAGCAAATGAAATGCAGCTTCAGCACAGTAATCATGCCATAACATTTAATGCCTTCCAATCTCTGTTGCATGAATAAAAAATACAACAATCCTGTTCCATCAAATCTGCAAATTGAATTTATTTTGAAATGAAATCTATTTTATAACATTTCAGAATCTCTTCTTCTATTTCCTCTACTCTTTTTTCATTTCATCACCTGATAATTGAAGAACACTGTAAAATTATTTCTAGAATGAAAGAGTGGAATGAAAATACCTCTTACAGATAAAGCTATATTCTTGCTATGGTTTTAAACAACTCTAAGAACTCCTAGTAACACATGGCAAATATTGTACAAATTCTTTCTTAGAAGAATGAGATTATGTGCTTGCATTATACTACAAAATTTATTGAGTTTGGTTTCCCCAGAGCATATATAAAGCCAAAACCAATCTTAGATCTCTCACAAACCCTTTTTATTAATGTTTGATCATTATACATTCAAAAATAAAATAAAACCCACCCAGACAGGTTGATGGGAGTCTATTACCTACACAATGAAAATGTTAAATTTATATTATAAAGCCATTACTAAATTAATCTTAAAACTATTTTTAACACTAACAACAGAACTAACCTTAAAACTCTACTGCTAATAGTAAACATGAACCCTAGCACCAATTTTATCAAACCCTTAATTTAGCATGGCTTTAAACCAAGGGTGTCAAACTTGCGGCATCACATGACATGTTGTGACGTATCACAACTTTTTTCCCATTGCCGGCAATGGGCTGGGCACAGTTTTGGCGTGACACATCTGGCCTGCGGGCCGACAGTTTGACACCTCTGTTTTAAGCCTTGCCAAGCTGTAATATTAATGTAACCATAATAACCCTAGGTTTTGTTAGCATTAGTTTGGCTAACCTTAATCCCAATATTGCTCTAACTATACACAACAAATCTAGCACTAAACCTAAACCAATCAAAACTATTTAATCCTATCCACCTAATCTTAACTCCAACCTACCGTAATCCTTGTTGTTGTTAGTTGCGAAGTTGTGTCCGAACCATCGCGACCCCATGGAAAACGTTCCTCCAGACCTTCCTGTCCTCTACCATCTTCTGGAGTCCATTTAAGCTCACACCTACTGCGTCAGTGACTCCATCCAGCCACCTCACTCTCTGTCGTCCCCTTCTTCTATTGCCCTCAATCTTTCCCAGCATTAGGCTCTTCTCCAGTGAGTCCTTCCTTCTCATTAGGTGGCCAAAGTACTTGAGTTTCAACTTCCAGATCTGGCCTTCTAAAGAGCAGTCAGGGTTGATCTCTTCTAGGATTGACCGGTTTGATCGCTTTGCAGTCCAGGGGTCTCGCAGGAGTCTTCTCCAGCACCATAGTTCAAAGGCCTCAATTCTTTGGCGCTCAACCCTAATGCTAACATTAACCATGAAAACTAATACTAAGCCTTAGTACTAAAACCCAACTGTAACATAACCCTGCTATCGATATTAACAATATTAACCATGAACTTTAACACTCACCCTAGTTATAATTTTCCTATAATTTATACAATAAACCTAATGCCTAATGATACTCATAATTCAGATTCTTTAGTCCTTATAACAATACTAACCTTAACTCTAACCCTAATCCTGTTACAATAAATCTGGCCCATGCTATAGGTATATATTTTATTGTGAAATATATTCATTTAGTTTATGGTTCAAAGTAATGATAATTATGTTCCTTTTTAAATTCTTATTCTCAATTCTTCCAGGGCTTTTTTGTCTCTATCATCTATTGTTACTGTAATGGAGAGGTAAGTTTCTAGTGGGTAATGGGTGTGCAGTTGTTGTTGTTGGTGGTGGTATGTGTGTGTATATTTTCATAGTCGTGCAAAGGGATGCCATGGTTGCCCCTCTGGCTCTCTCAGGCAGGATTCTTATCCTTCCCTCCTCCAACTCCTCATGTTGCACTCTCCCAACAGTCTTTTCTCCTTTATGGAGAAAATTCATGTGTGCCTCTTTATTTCAAGGGAATATGCATTGAAAACCAAGTTTCTTCTCACAGTTACTGTTTTTGAGCCAGGTTTCACCTAATCGGTATTTGTACCTTTGGTTTTTCCTGCCTAAGTCTAAAACCTTACTTTTCTCTACATTAAATTTCATTTTGTTGGATAGGGCCAGTGGTGGGATTCAGCCAGTTTGCACCACTTCGGCAGAACCGGTAGCTAATTTTTTGTTGCCCAGGCCCAGAATGGACTTCTGAAAGTGGCATCCACACAGAGAACCGGTTGTTCACATATTTGAATCCCATCACTGGATAGGGTCCATTGTTCTAATAAGGAAACAACTTGGATCAACCCACAAAATGAAACTGGAAAAAAACAATGTTCAACATTTGCAAAAATGCCTTTTTCTTTCTGATTCTCCACCTCTTATTCAAACTGGGATGGATTTCTTACCTGGTTGAAGGCAATTGGGGAACAAATACCATCTCCTCCAGAGAGGGCAGCAAAAGAACGAAGGCAAAACAAAGCTGGCCCCCTCCTCTTCTGAAAGTTCACCTGGAGAAGAGAACCTTTCTGCTCCCAGATGGTTGCCTAGAATGAAAGTTCCCCAGGTTTTGCTTATCTCTGCCCAGTCTCTAGAGTGGCAGGTTTAGATTTGATCTCTCAGTTCAGAATTCTTGGGATGTTTCCTCCTCCTTCACTGCAGAATATATTAATTTACCTGAAATAAATCTCTTCTTCCCTAGCTGTAGAACAGTAAACAGAAGCAAATATATCATTTGTCCCTGTTGCAATGGTTTCGACGAAGTCACATTCGTCATCTTCAGGCTGGTGTCTTCAGCTTCGTGCTTCTAAGAGTGGTGTGTGATTGCAGCTGTTTCTTCCTTTTAACTGCCAGTGGGGTTGGAGCTGATTGGGTGGGAGCTTGGCTGTGTTCTGATTGGGTGGAGGTGTGTTCTGATTGGTTAAGGAGCCTGGCTGTGCTCTGATTGGCT